ACCACCGACCCAAAGAGCCTCGGTCTTCCCAGGATTCGAACACAGCTTACTGGCCCTCATCCAGTCTACAACTACATCCAGACACTGAACCAAAAAGCTTTTGCAGCCTCTTCTGATTTGGATGTTATGGAACAATATTCTGATGCTGATAACAAATTCCTGGGCTGAGAATGTGCTCCGAGGCACATTGTTCTTTAATTCTAACTGTATGTCTTTTGCACAGGGCTCTGGCTGATAGATCTTGGGGGGGGGGGGGGTTCTAGCAAAAAACAAACACCAACACTGTAGAGCTCCCAAGCCTGAAATCTCCCCGCCCCTTCCATAGGCCGCACCAGGATCTCATTAAAGAGCGTGATAAGCTCCCCACAGGGCCTTTCTGTTTGACAGCCTTGTCAAAAACAGAGCTATACATTTATAAATAGTCCTATCTAAATTATCATTAATAATAATTACAAACCTCAGCAGCAGGGATACACCCGAAAGTTAAATCATACTGTAAGCAAAGACTTGGGAGTCCAGACAGCTACTTCTGGCACACCTAAAGGCTTGCGTGTGCCTTGGGGAAAATTTTAATCATTTTTTATTTGAACAGCTGACATCACACACACGCCATGCCATGTCACAATTTATTTCTGAAATCCCCCTCCATTTCAAAGGCAGATTTCCCTGTGTCACAGGCAGAAAGGTGGCTATTGTCTGAGTAACAGCTAAGGCATGTAGAAACAGTACTTTGAGTACCTACCCCAACCCACCAACCCCAAAATCTTTCTCTTAAAGAACATGCACACCAGTTTGGGTGATCCTGTTTCCTCATGCAAATAAGAAGGCTGTTCTCAGAATGAATGGCATAGAGATAATATTTTTTCCTGTAAGCAGATGCTTGAAATGCTTCCCCAAAACCCAGATGCTACCTTGACTTTTCATCATATCTGATGAACAGCATGCCCTGAGGACTCTTTGTTTCAAAATACAGCGGTCCTGTTAACGATCACAAGTCTCTATCAAATGCAGACAGTTGTTCCCTACTGCAAGCCTAAACTGACAAGGCTCAAGTTCAGATTTCATGAGTTCAATCCTGAACACGGATGAAGCCAGTCCCTTGCGGGTTTTCATTCTCCCTCTCCCAAAAGGAATGTTAACATTTCCTTTTCATCAACCAGGAAGATTTACATCTAATCTGTCACTTTGAAGTAACTCCTGCCTTGATTTATGCGCAGATGCTACTGTAGAGCCTATTTATTTAAAATGCAACACTGAAGTTGAGAGACTAATGGATCGACATCTGTAAAGGATTATACCACAAACACATATGCCTTAAAACATAATGAAGAAAAGGAGGTCAAAAGCCAAATAATTCCAGGAATTCTAGTAGTTAGGGCACACAACAAATCAGTACTGATCCTCAATGTTTTTACCTCTTGTTATGGTGTCTGTTACAAGCTGATAAGGAAAGACATGAGCGATGAGCCAGGTCTTTGAAGGTTTGGTAGTATTGCCAAATTTTCCAGTGATTCAGCAGAATTCTGTTATGGGGTAACTACAATGCAGTGCTTGTGCGAGGGCAATTTCTTTCTCCTCTTCCCCACTACAGCCCTGAAAAGCTGTAAGGTTTTCCTGATCTTCAGTGGAGGCTTTTAGGTGAGCCTCCAGTAGGGAAGAAATGGCAGGGATTGTCCCTTCTGCCCTCTTGCAGAAGCACTGCATTAGCTATTCTTCATGCTGTTTTTCCGTAAGGCTCAAAGTGCTAACCAAACGGAGAATTGACAAGGAAATAACAGGTGGATCAGCTCCAGGTGAACCAATACCTGACCAAGAGCCTGGAAATATTCATGGAAAACATTACAGGGTCAGGCTACGACACGCCTCTTCAGCGAGAATGTTCCACAACTTTGTCGTGACTACTCTGCTTCTGACTGTTACCAAAACCAGCTCACAATCAGATCTCTCAATGTGGAGCGCTTCGATGGGGAAGAGGTATTCCCAAGGAAGACCAAGCTTAACAGCTTTAGGACTTTGTAGGCAACGGCCATCACTCGGTAACTAAGCAGTGCTCTTGGGGGTAGCACAGGTAACCTATAAAGCCTACACTGCTGAATATCTCATGGTACCCCCACGCTGAACTCGCTGCAGTAGTCACTATGTGCCATGAGCTACAGCTGCCAAGATCCCTCATTTGTTGGTAAGAGTGTGGCTGCCAATGAAGTTTAACAGACAGAAAGCACTGCAGATCAGAAATATCACCTGCTGTCTCTGAACAGCCCTGGTGGCAAACCACTCCATCAGAAGGAGTGTGACCCCCATCAAGCAGGGGCATGCCACCAACTCCCATATCACAAAATTTGGTGTCGTTATGAATTCAGATAAATTCGTAAAATAAATGCTGCAGCCCAACTCCCACATTTCCTTCCATGCAAGATCCGGTTCATGCGATGCTGTCAGCCTTCAAAAATTTAAAAACCAAGGTGTGTAATGTGGTTGGGAACAGCATGTGCACAAGCACTGAATTCAGCCAAAGTTAGCCGTGGGCACAGCACCACAAATGTTGTAAAAGTCCATGCATGCCTAAAGCCCATCCCAGCTGAGTTCAACAGACGGTAGGGGCAAGGATATAATGTCCTCACCAAGGGCTTTTGCAAGTGGAAGTTGGCCATGGTACCTTCCTCAAAACTGCCCCCTTCTTTGTGCAAAACACACTACAAAGCAAAGGGGTAGACTTTGGAGTCTATTCCCTCATAAAACAAAGTCACCCAGTATTCTTTTCTAGAGAGTCCATATGAAATATAAATAAAAACTCTTGACTGAATAGCTCAGGTGTGCAATTATTGACATTTGCAGGTCTGCACTCTCAGAGAGAGTCACCACAATTGTTGGTCCAGCAAAGCTTTATGGAAACAAATATAGTATAACCTACCAATTATAAGAGAAAAATGCGGCTCCATAGTTGGAGAGCAGAGGAAAATGACAAGAAAAGAAAACAAAGTTAATAGCAAGCTGGAACCAAACAGGACTCATGTTTGTGAATCACAGTCTAGCTTGTTTGTTCAAGTAAAACTGAGATTTGAATTTACAGCCCCAATTGTCATTATAGCTGCTTGACTCAAATACAAGCCACACACCCAAACACAGCTGATCTAAGTATTTTTGATTTCTCAGTTTACTTGATGAATGGTATTGATAAGGAAGACTAGTCATGTTTAACGTAACTTAAAGCATATAAAATTTGGCCAAAAAAGCGCAAATAACTCCCTTGTAGCTCAAATTATGTATTTGGTGCAGGTCCCTATATCTATGCATTTAGGTGAACACCAGAAGGCCCCAAAATATATGGACAAACTGAAACACAGCATTATTTGTCTTTAGAAGCCCATAGGAAATATACTAGTGTGAATAAAACAAATAAAAGAAATTAGATTTTTTTCCCTATAAAAAGAAGTTGTTGCAACCCAGCTGGAAAAAAAAGTAATAGATGAGTTCTGAACTTGAACCCACCCTGTTCAAAGGGGACCCTTTGAACAAGGGTTGCCAGGTCCCCTCCTCCTTTTCTTCACAAGGTTCCTCTATTTCTAACACTTGCATGACGGGCATACTTCAACAGCTTAGCCTTTCAGCCCCAAGGAAGCCACAGTCATGGGAACCATTCTCCCTACTGAATTCCTGCCCACTCTGCAAAGTGTTAAATGCACAGGCAAACCTTGCTCTGAATAGTCATAGTAAGGGCTATTTGCCATGAGCAAAAAACAGCACTCCTGTGGAACAAACAGAGCAACCTTCCCCAACCCAGTGTCCTCAAGTGGTTGTCAGACTACACCTCCCATCATCCCTGACTGTGCTGGCTTGGGCTCATGGGAATTGTAATCCGCATTATCTGAGGTGGTCCCCAGGTTGTCAAATGGCCTTCCAAGTGTGTCCTATGCCATCATTGTATGCTTCTCGGTGATTGGCTAAGACACACCTCTTTACCTGAGCCTTTGGTTGAATGGATGTCTTCCTGCCTCCTGTGTTGCTACACACTGTTGTTCTGCGCTGTGGTTTTGTTATTGGCCCTTTATTTTTATTTTAAAGACCTGTATATTGCATTTCTTTGAACTGTGATGGTTTTGTAACGGCCCAGGACCATTTGGTGAGGGGATGACCTATAAACAAAACTAAAATAAAACTAAAATTTGGGGGGGGGGTTGCTTGTGAACTTCTGGAGGTGTCTGGCTGGCAGCACAATGCTGGACTAGGTGAACATCGATCAGAATCTCCACAGCAATACTTGCAGCCTTCTAGAGATGGACTTCACCTGTCTCTCGTGGCTGCAGGCTAGATCTAAGCTAGCACAGAGCAGGAGTCAGAGAGACCAAGGGGTGAGGACACACAGGCTAGCAGAGTGCAACAGAAACTATTCTGACACATTCTTCAGCCTGAAAAAATACAAATGCCTCAGAATCCAAGGAGCCTGTGTTCAAAGCCACTTCCTTCTCCCACACCTTAACACGTGTTCAGAAGCCACGCTTTGCGTGCAAAAGTTTCCATGTTTGATCTTTAGCACCTCCTTGCAAAGCCTCCTGTCTGAAACCCTGGAGTGTCATGGCCAGTCCCCAAAGACCCCAAAGCCAGGATTTATTTGGGGGGGGGGGTTAGTCCTTATGTGGTGATGGTGGGAACAACCAAATTATCTGTGGTGCATTTGGTCAGTTCAATATATTTCTTTCCTTGCCCCCTCTGGCTACGCCCATGGTGGGAGTTGTTGCCCATCATTTCTGGCTTCCTGCTTACACCCCACTGGCTTGCCCCTGCCCTCTAACCCGATCCCCTCTAGGGGGGGCTGAACACCCCCCAGGCCTAGCAGAGAGGGAGCTGGCAGGCCCAAACATCTGGAGGGCATCAGCTGGAGTCTAGGCTGGGGCAGACCATCCCGGATGGACTCGCTATATGAGGCAGTTCCCGAGGAGGAGGAGGAGGATGCGCCGCTTCGCCCAGAGCCCGCGCACCCGCGGCCACCCTGACTCACTCACCCCGCGCTCGAGTGGTCGTCTCTCTCTTCCTCCCCCGAAGAAGGTGCGCGGAGCCGAGGCGAGGCTTAGTTCAGGGCAGAGCGAGCGCCGGGAGCCCGAGGAAGAAGAAGAAGAGGAGCGCCGTCGCCACTTGCCTGCCGTCGCCTCACACACCCGAGGGGCGGGGCTTTACCTGCTGCCGGGGTGGGGCTGCCAGGTGGGCGCCCGCCCGCTCGCCAGGGGGTCGGCTCGCGCCCCTCATGCTGAGAGGCGGGGGGCGAGGGGCGGGGGGAGGAAAGCGCCGGCTGAGGCTTGGAAAAGGGCTGGAGGAGGCGCGCCAGAAGACACCTCACACTCACTCAATAATCCTCTCTCTCTCTCTCTCTCTCTCTCTCTCTCTCACACACACACACACACACACCCGTCCTTCCCGCGCGACGGGCAAGAGCCACGCCTCGCGCTCCGGGACTCCCAGTTTGCTCAGGGAACGAGGAGCTCCTCGGAAAGTTGTTCCCTCGGCGCCACTCTCTCCCGCCGCCTCAAAGAAGTTGCTTTCGGGAGGCGGGACGTGGAGGATGCGGAGTTGTGCAACACCTGTAAGCTCGGCGGGGGCCGAGGGGAAAGTGTAGCCGCACGACGGCCGGGAGGCGGCGCTGTGGAGACGCGCAGTGGGGATGAGCGAGAGAGCGAGCGAAGCGCCGGCGCGGATTGGGAAGCGGCTCTTCTTCCCCAGCAACTTCTGGGGTGCCTGGCAGGCTCCTCCTCCGTTTGGACCTGTTGCCTCTTGGGGAACGTCGGACTTCGCAGGAGGAGGGTTTGGGGGGGGGCAACACGTCAGGGATTCTTTAGCGGCGCTCGCAGGGGGTTGGACTAGATGCCCCTTGGGGGTCCCTTCCAACCCTAGAATTCTAGGAGTCCAGCGTTGGCAGCTCTCGCACGCCTCCCACCTGCGCGCGTGCGCAAGGGGAGCAGCCGAGCGACTCAGTGACCCCAGTCATTAACTCCTTGTCACCCGAGGCAGCAATGAACTCGGGCACAGCCCCTGCTCCTTCAAACTGATTGTCGATATTTGTATAGTTACACACAATAACCTATATCCTGCAATGTTACATATTTATATGCAATTGCATAAAAGGAAAATGAATGCAGGAAAGCAAGAAAAGATGGGCCAATTTCATTTTAGTTCCTATTTAAGATCACTAGGAAGATGGTTGTATATACAAATGGAAGCCGGATGTATGCAATGCATGTTGTAAAACGTTCTCGCATTTGCCTCTCCCCCCCCCCCCAGCCCACTCCCTCAAGCTCTTAACAATAATTTTCAGGTCATCACTGCAAATACCTCTTTAAAAATGACAGTGACAAGACACCAATTTATAATCAGCAACCTCATTAGAGCCACAGTGATTTATATTGACTCCTTTCTCCCACTCTCTTTTTACCCAAGTTGATCTTTTCCCTATCAGAAAAGTTAAATACAGTACTGCACAAGATTGTCTGCAAACACTGCCACCTAGTGGAAGTTAAGTGGCCTTGCGTAAGTAGCAAAGCACTATTCTGTAGTAATAACAATTCATAAATCAATAAATCAATAGGAGGGCTCCTCTGCAAGGGAGAAGCATGGAAGTTTTCCAGAGGAAACACAGGCTATCTGAGTTTGTATAGAAAAGGCTTCCCTTCACCTGAAAGTTTGGAGGCTTGCTTCCAGTCATGGTAGAAAGAACTGGGCTGGATGGGCCAATGGTTGACTCCTTATAAAGGGGAAGGGGATTGTGGTTGAGTCTGCAACTTGCCGAACACAGGTCTCCCTGTTTCTAACATCTTTATAAACCCCAACCCTTTGTGCAAACACAGTTTAGTACTCTGTTCTGATCAAAAGAGAAGGACTGGAAGGGAACTGTGTGTGCCTTGTTGACTGAGAAGTCATCATGCTACGAGCGACGACAAATAATAATACTAAATACCAAACGTATTTGCTGAAACCAAATGGGCTGCATTCAATTATCTCCTCTTGGGGAGACAGATCTCATCTGGTTAGTTTCTCCCCCCCCCCCCCCCCGCAACACGAAGGGCTTTTGCTGAAAATAGGGGCTCTGTGCAGGGTCCAAACTCTCTCTCTCTCTCCAGCGGCCTGTCTTCAGAGTTGAAGTGTGGTTGGTCCTAACAGGCATGAACTCTGCAATGCACACCCAAAACCTTCAAGTTACGTGCTGGGCTGGGCTTATCAATCAGTAGCCTTGCAGCTTGGGCTGGTGAACAGGTTTGCTCCCACAGCAAGCAACAAGAACCCTGCATTTGATATGTTTATTAATTTAATTATATTATAATATAATAAATATACTTATAATTATATAATTAATTAATATACATTTATTCATTAATGTAGTGAAAAGATCTGACCTCGGAAAAACCATCTGTAAACACAGAACAGGGTGAAATCGCAACCACAGATAAATACAGGCCACAAATGCTACTTGCAAGATAAAGTTTACTTCGATTTTATTTCCACTTTTAAACAATTTTTGGATGATACATCATGCAGTCTGCCAGTGTATCCATACATTTTAATAGATAGTATTTTTAGAACCAAGATCAAAAGACTTATCTATGGGAATGGTTGGGGAGATTCAGGTCTGCTGTTACAGAGCTTGAGTCATTACAGCGTATTTTATAATAGTGGCAATTCCCTCCCCCCGCCCCCCGGATTGTAATCAGAAAAGTATCCACATTTCACTTTTCCCTCCTAAAACAAGCTACTGTACAGATACATAGATCCCAGAGAATACACATCTGGAGTACACATTACACACTTTACAAACTAGACATGTATACTTCTACAGAATGCCTGGATCCCTATTGTTCTTTCACATCTTCCACTATTTAAAGTGTTTCAGAAATGAGAGAGACAGAAGTATTTAGGAGTAAGACGTGAACTTGGAAGCTGACAATCCTTTTGTATGGGTGCTTAAAAAAGACATTTGTCCAATGTTTTTTGAACTTCATAAAGGCATTAAATAAAGCTCTAATTGCCAACACAACGGAGCAAATTAATCATCCTTGTAAGTGTTGTTGCACAATTCTGATGAGAATGGTTTACTGAATAAAAAACATTTTTGTATTCTGCTTGCCTCCAAAGTGTACAATGACATAGTGTTCAATCCATCGGCAACAGATTGCACACAGTTGCTGTATAATCTCTTATTCAACATGGCTTGCATGGGCAACACACACAGATAGAACCTTCAGAAATGGGAACAGTCATGGGTGATACATTCCCAAGACCAATGGGGAACCCAGCCAAATGGCCAGGGTATAAATAATTTTTAGTACTACTACTACTAGTAGTAGTATGGTCCATTTCATATGCAACATTCTATGGTTGAGTTTTCACGTGTGTGTTTCTTTTTTTAAAAAAAGGAAGTGTTTCTAGAGATCAAGTTGTTGTTTTACATTTTAAAGTAGCTTTTTTCCGCTCACTGAGGTATATATACAGAAATGTTTCCAAAAACTCAGCTGCATTTAAGATACTAGTATATCTTAAATGCTTCTGATTTCTACTAGATTCAGAATAATCCACTCTCATCTTTGCTTGGCAAAATACACACTTAGCAAATATCTTCACGAGCTTTCTTATTTGTCTCAGCAAGGTTAAAAAGGTTAGGACTAAATAAAATACAAAGTGCATTTGAAAACAACTGCTTAGGAAAATGAGAAATTTGACAGTAGAAAAGGGTACAACTGAAATCAGTAACAAAGAAATTCCATATTGTATGGTTTATAACGTGTCAAGTATTAGATGCAATACTTATTTAAATAAGCTGAAAGAAACAATTTTGAATCTGAAAACAAAAAAGCAAACACAAATGACCATCAGTGATGAAATGTCGATGTTGCTGCTAAAAAATATGGTAAAAATTATTCTATATGACCTACTAATAGGTACCAAAACTAGATCTATTAACTCTTCAGCAAAAAAGTAACTCTAGCAGCAAAATAAAACTGCAGTGCCACAGAAACAAGATGAAAATTTGTGGACACTTTAAGAAGTCAACTCTAAGATTTGCCTTTTTAGCATTTCAGAGGATAATCTGCCGTCTCTGAATCAGAATGGAATAGTTAGTTCTGATGCCTCCATTAAGGGGTTTACGCTAGATGAACTGACTGGCTGATCAGCAACTAGCTGTTCCTAAAATATATTAGGAACCCTGTCCTTACAAAGGCATCAAAAGTTACTTTTCCATGGTGCTCAAGATAGACACACACTTGTGCAGAACAGCTAAAGCCCTCTGTTATGAAAGTGCTTGGGAACACACTGCACACAATTCTCATTAATTCTAATGGTGATTGCACAGGTATAATGCTCAATGGATTACATTCATGATAAGCACGAACTTTTACTTATACAAAACTATATGTTAACAATCAAAGGGGGGGCAGTTCAGCTACACATAAGCTACACATTAAAAAACAATACTTCATAAATGATGTACATGTAGAACTGATCTATATGATATGATAGCCCACACACTGCTTGAGAAAGTATCTGAATGGCAGATGCTACTCATGCTATTTTGAGCCAATTCCCATGTGGATCATTCCCACTGCATACAGCAGGGATGGGGACCCTATGGCTAGACTATCATCCAGAGGGCCACAAATAAAACCTGATTCACCAGGTAAAACCTTAGTAAATATTATCACCACCTTCTGGAGTAGTTGCCACTCAGAAACTGCTTCAAGCATCCTTGTTGGACTTATGGCATACGGACTGGCAGTTAAGTTTAAACAACAGAAATAGCAGTAGACTTCTTGGTACCTTTATTTGGAATACAGAGTTCAACTTTATATAAACATCTTGGCCACATTACTCCCAGAAATAGGGTTCGGATATGGCAACTTGTACCTTTCAGTTTGTTGGCAGTGCTTAATACGTGTGTATTTGGAAACAAAAAGGGTTTTTTTATATTAAAAAAAAATGTAACAAAATAAATTAAACAAATGTAAAAGATTCAATATTTCATTAAATATGTTACAAAAAGTCTCTCCCACACAAATAGTGCAACCCTTAATAAATTAAGCAAAACCTGAATATCTTTGCTAAGTTTGAGAGCTTCTAAAGCAACATCAGGACAAAACATCTTTCCAAAGGCTTTAGGGTTTTAATGAGTTAGCTTCTTAAAATATGTCTATAAGCCAAAAACATTCAGAAGCCCCCAAACTTACCCTTAATTAAAAAAATAAATAAATAATGCCACAGCAGCAGACAGGACTGAATGAATGTAAACTCCTAATTCAGTCATTTTGAAATAGTCTTTCAGGACAATACATTTTAATGTGCATGGTTGTAGATGTATTATTTTGTGTGTGTGTGTGTGTGTATACACACACACACATACTACATGAAAGAAACACAACAGACATATTAAGCTACAGATTTAACACCTGTCTTGCCTATCTAACATTTCCTATGGCTATGTTTGATTTCCACTAGAAATAAAATCTGACACCCTACATATGTCATTAAGAAAGAATTGAAAAAAGAAGTCTATCTCACTAATGGTGAGTAAGCTATAAAACTATACTATCCCTAGGCAGACTTGCATATTGTT